GACCCAACACAGCCCGATGAGGCTGCATGGCAGCTTACCTGGCAATGACATGCCTGGTGGGACACACCACGCCCCTGTGCTCAGCAGCAAGACTCACCTGAGTGCAGCAGGGCCTGGAGGGTGCCGCTAAGGTTGCCTCAGCACCGGAGCAACTTTGGCAGACTGTCATAGGGAGGCTCAGACAGTGCGGAGGCAGAAAGGGAGCCTAGGCCAGGTGGGTTAAGACAGGGCATGGCTATGGAGAGAGGAAGCCCACTAGGGAGCAGGGTGACAGAGAAGAGGAGAGTGGAGCTGGGGCTATAAGTAGGGAGAAAGGGGAAGAGGCTGGAGGGAGGGAGAGACTACAGAGAACACCAAGCCAGCCAGGAGGAGAAGGGGAAGGAAGGAGAAGCCAAAAAGAAGCTGTGGTGTTGGTTCAGGGAGGTTGCTCGGTAAGGAAGCAGGTTACAGTGTTTTATTTTTTATTTATAGTCAGATTTATACCCCGCCCTCCCCGCAAAGCACGCTCAGGGGGGCTTCCAACAACAAACACAACAATACAGAATAAAAACATAAATAATACAGAAGTACGGAGTGTTGTGGCTCTTCTTCCCTGTAATGCATTGTAACCCTGAGGTGGGGGAAGTTAACTTCACCTTCAGGTGCTTGGACTGGTCAACTTCCAATAAAACAACCTGTGCAAGAAAGCAGTGACTGGGCTGGTGGTTTCAAGACCCCGTGGACTCCAGGTGTGATGTTCCCCTGCCCCCAGAGAGCACCACTGGCTGCTATGAGCCCAACTGAGGTTAAAATATAAGAACTTATATACTTATATCAGGGCCTGCACGTTCATCCAGTAGGGAGAAATTAAAAGCACCACATAGTTGTTTAGAGTAGGAGAAATGGTACAGGCAGATTGGGTTTAACCCCCTTTCCCCTGTGTCTCAGTCCCAATCCCAATCAAGGTTCTGTGGGCCTCCTAATTGAAAAAGAAAGCAAAACACCTGAAGTGCCAGACACATACCATTCAACATGTCCTCTGGTTGGACCTCAAAGCTGATCATGCCCAGAGCTGTCCATACTCTGAAGGGTACAGGGAAGCCTTTTCCCACAGAAACTCAATTTTCATGTAGAGGAAGCCCAGAAGTTCAAATGATCATCTACTGATTATTGCTGTGATTCCAGAGAGCCTCTGGGAAAGGACTTCAGGAATTTTCCAGAAATAAACTGGCAAATTGTTAACCACTAAACAAAATTGTAGAAACAGGTGTTTTATATTCAATTTAATTGACAGAAGAGGAATTTCCCAATGGACAGGTGTTTCTGTCCTAGGAAACATTCGTCAACTTTTTAATTAGGATGGTACCATTTGGCAATAATGACCTGTCCTAGTGGAGATTTACGATAAAACTCTCTGCTTCAAAGAGGAATAATTGATCAAGATAAGGCTAGAAAAGCCTAATTGGGGTGAACAAAAGGGTAACCCCTCTTCTGATTTGCTGTGTGTTTTTAGAAATTAAAATATAACTTTAATATTTTGTTTATACCTGAGAATGAAAGCTTATGGTATAGAAAAAGAAGTAGCTAGCTGAATATTTACCAAGACTATATTCTTAAATAAAAAGCTTTGCTAAATACATAGCTATAAGCTATAAGGAACTACCAAGCTTATTTTAACAAAGTAAAGGTTGGAAAATGACCAAGAGCACCAGATGTGCTGAGAGTCCAGCAAAAGAACAAACATCATTAATCACAAGAGTGCCTAATAATTAAAAGAACTAATTAAAAGTGCAAAACTTGTATTATATGAAAAGGACCCCTACTGGCAAAGGTAAAATAGCATATTTTACAAAAAACGGGAACTTTAATTTAGATTTAAAATCTTTATAAAATTCAGCAAAAATCTTCTGATGGATTAAAATGAAGAATAATAGATGAATTCAAGATATCTATAAAAGTGTTATGCCATAGGCTACTTTGAAACATTAAAATAATACATATAAAGCATTTAATTCTTTAAAATATAAGATTATACTGATATTTTAAAGAATTAAACCCTTTATCTGTCCTATTTTATGCAAAAATAAGCTTATAGAAGTGTTTTTAAGCTTTAAGAGTATTTTAATACACATGTATCAATGTAAAGAAACCATTTTTGTAATGGGAAGTTAGATTTTCTACTGAGAATGAACTCAGTCTGAAAAGCTCATTCAAGGGTGAACCAAGTCTGGAAAACTGGCCAAAAGATGCAGTCATCATTTTTAACGAGGTGAACACCTGCACTGTAAGGCTGAAATGCAGCCAGGTAGCCTCTTGTTTGTCAAACACTTGATAAATGATTGTTGAGCCAAAGAAACTTAAACTGAGCATGTGCAAATGATGTCAACAATCATGTAAAGTTGGGAGGAGCAAGAAAAGCATATAATATCATGGGCCAGTCTGCTTTAACTGAAGAGCACTCAGCTGATGCCGATAACAGCCCCGGCAGCACCTCTGAGGCTCAGCCAGCTGGTGCTGCTAACAACCCTGAGACAGCAGAGGCAGGTCCTAGTGCCCCAGTTGATGAAGACAGCAGGCACTCCAACCCCATGAACACTGGGAACACGGAAGAGACAATCCAAGATCGTGGGGAAACTTTACAGGCTGCCTCGCCTCCTCAGTCCCCGGAGCCAGGGGAACGCAGGAGGAGGCGGGCATGCTTGGAGCTCCTCGAGAGGAGGTGGAGCACATGCCTTGCTGCCCAGCGACTGCCAGATCAAGAGGAACACCTGGAGTTAATGGACAGAGCTCCTGCAAGCAACGAGACCTAGCTGTGAGCGGCTGATAAAAGGACGGGGCTGAAAGAAAGAAGGTGTGGGAACAAAGTGTTATCTCTCTGGAGACGTGCCTCCATGCCATCCCAACCTGTTTCTGGCTGCTATTCCTGGACCTTTGGCCTTGACCCCGGACCTGTTTGACAACGCCTCTCGGACCTGCTTGAATCCTGCTTCTTGGACCCTCGGCAGGCTTCCCTTGTGTATGACCCTTGGACTGAACTCTTGACTCACACTTTTGGTTAGTGATTCTGCCTCATCCCCTTGGTCTCAGCTGAGTCTGCCCTGACCCAGGACTTATAAGTCAGATCCCTGCTGTTACTGACTGGACATCTGAATTTTTGGCTGTATGGTGTCCCTTATTCAAATAAAACTTTTTCTACCCTTTACTGCCTGAATAATGGTCTCACTGCATGGCTTTATTGGCTAGCCACACAAGTCAAAAAACCTTAGCACCCACAGGGCGTTGCCTTCATTCACATCACAGCACAGATGGAACTCTGAATGAATGTAGGTTGAGGCATCTCATCTACTGCTGAACAAAATCTCTAACCAGAAAGCTGATGAAATCAGCAGGCTGTATTCCAAAATGTACTGAATGATTACAAGGTTAGGGTTAGATATAACTAAACTATATATATATAAACTATACTGGTAAATTGCTGGTCTAACGCAATATAGCAGTGTTCACCTGTACCCACTGTTCACATATACAGATGGGTTTTCATCTAAGAGTTGCTAAGAACTGTATGATGTGTTGTCAGCTATGGAGACATACGGCAGGACAAAACATAAACAGAATGACAGAAAATGTTTCCACATTGCTGCATCAAGATTTGATAAATAGTACTGCTGGAAAGTAATGCAAACTTTATAAAAGCTTAAGCTCTACAAATGTTTGTGGATCAAGAGCTGGGCTCTTTTCAGATCAATGAAAGCCAAATATAACTTGCAAGAGATCAGCTACAAAACCCTTTTAATTCAAATGTACACTGGCAAACCATAACAACATCTGTCTAAGACCCTGCAGAGCCACTGCCAGTCGGAGTAGACAATACCGACCTTGACAGTCTAATGGTTTGACTCGGTAACATTACAAAACCATACTATGCACCATTACCGCAAGCAGAATGACATGGCACATCATTTTCTGTGAGGCAGCCCTCTCTGTAACCTAGTTTATTTATCAACTACCTTTCATCTAAATAAAATCCCCAAGGCAATTTACAGCAGAATAAAGCAAAATGTAAGTCAACTGAAAACAGTCAAATGCAAAATAAAATCCTGCTAAAATATAATAAAATACATACAGTAAATAAACGTTCTGCAATACTGCCACTCCCTGTCTGATCAATAAATCAAGGCCCACCAGACCAATTCAGAAAGCCTTTAGTGGGAAGCGGCTGTTCTCAACTTTCTAGTGGAGGGAGTTCGAAAGTCTTTAAGGTTTGGAATGACAAAGGCAACAGGTGATAAAGGTCTGGTGGCTGCTCCAAGCACCCGGAACTCACGTGCAGGAGATGGGGGGGGGGAACAGTTGTGTTATGTGGCAATGAGTATGGAAGGACATCTGAGCAGCAGCAGTTTTTATCTGACTGACAAAGATCTGATTTGGATTTACAGAAACAGGATTAATCTCATGCTGGCTTTACTATTGTGTGTCTCTATGTTTGCAAATAAACTTACAACATAAAACAACAGCCTTCTTTCTTCCAAAGGAAACTGGCCCAGCAAAGGCCACTCTGAAGGGTCCACCTCTTGGGGAAAGAG